CGTCGTGGGTGCGCCCGGCCCCGGGAACCGGCTTGCACCGGTAGCGTTCTCTCCCCGCGCGGCGCCCGCCACGGCCCGTCGTCCAGGCCAGGGGGGAAATGGGGGGCTTTGCCCCGCGCCTCTGCGGCCCCCGCTTTTCCGTGGACGGAGGTAACCGGCCAGGGCCCCGTGGCCACGTCCCAGTGGTTTGCTGCTGCTGTTGAGGCGCTGGCTGCACCTTTAGAATCGTTCTGTAGGGGGCTGGGAAGGGGCTCAGTGGTAGAGCGCTTGCCTTGCAAGGCCCTGGGTTCGATTCCTCAGCACCACATAAGCAGAAAAAAAAGCTGGAAGTGGCGCTGTGGCTCAAGTGGTAGAGTGCTAGCTGAAGAGCTGAGGGACAGCGTTCAAACCCCCCCCCCAAAAAAATAATAAAATAAAATCGTGCTGTATAAAAGGTGAAGGTGTCTTGCAGGAGGTTGGACCAGGCCGGTTATGTTTGGGGGTGCCTGAGTTGGAGGAGGTACAACGTAGACTTTACAGAGGTGGCAGGCAGAGGTTTTTGTTTTGGGGTGTGTGTGGTTCAAGGTGGGGACACCGCCGTGTCTGACTGCTGCAGAGGGAACGCGTGATGACTGAACGGGTGGGGAAGAGGAGGGCTGGGAATTCAACAGGGGGGTGAGCTTGTTCCCATGCACAGTGTGCATCTGTGGGATCACCCCAGTAAAACGCCTTCATTGCTCACGGATAGCAATTCAGAAAAAAATAATTGACAGCCTTGTAAGCACAGAGTTTTCGTTTGCAAAGGAAAAATGGCTATGGAGCAGGAGGGGCCGTGGGGCTGGTTCTTACTTCCCATTCTGGGTTTGCATGTAGTATTCAATTTGTTTTTTAACTATATATATGTATTTTTTTAATTAAAAAGAACTATTAACACGTCTTTTCTGATTGTAGCATTTATCCTCCAGTTGCGGGACAGGAGAGCCCTCTGTGCTGGGCAGGAAAGAAGTTTGAAGAGATCCCAATAGCACACATTAAAGCATCTTACAACAAGTAAGTGGGAAAGGACGCACCGGGGCAGTTTGCTGGTCCTCCTGCTTCTACCCTTAGTAGGGTAAGAGTCGGGGCCAGGTGCAAGGACTGGAATAGGGGCAGATGGCCCCACTGAATGCTGGGAAATAGATTGATGATATACTAAGAAGAAAGGGACAGACAATCTAATCTACAAGTAAGTGATTCATTAGCTATCCCTTTAATTGTATCTTTCCCTTTGGTCATGCTCAGGACATTGGACTGGCTAAGCAGGTGTTCTACTGCTCAAGTTAGGCTCCCACACCTAGTGCTCACCTTGGGTCCCTTTGCACCGCCCTTTGCCATTTAGAACTAAGTGCAGATGGTGAGTTTATAGTAACAGGACTGTGTTTATGTGGTCTGCGCATAGGTGTCAGGGCAGGGCTGGGATGCACAGCCATGCGTTGACCTCAGACGTGTCACTGTGTCTGTGACGGCGCTGAAGTTCACCCCCCACTTGGGTGGTCATCCTGCCCATCACTGGATTTAGAGAATCAGCAGAAGCTCCGGTCACAGACTGGCATGTGCAGGACAGATGAAGCGCTACAGGATGCATTCCTTGAAATGTCAGATCTCGGATTTGCTTTAAAACAGCCCACTGGGGAAGGGAACAGGTTCATAGATAAAACTGAACCAGGTGTAAGCTGATATTTGGAAGCTGAGTGACAGGCCCCTAGGAGTTCATTGCTGTTTCAGCATATTTTTTTTGGAGGGGGGGGTGTTACCTGGTGAGCCAGGCCCATGTGATAGCTCATACCTGTAATCCCAGCTTCCTAGGAGATGGACCTTGAGAGGCTTGAAGGCCAGTGGGAGAGAAGTTAGCAAGGACCCCTATCCCCATCTCAACCAAAAAAAGCCTAGCCTAGTGATACGGGATTATAATCCCAACTATGAAGGTATAGGTAGGAGGGTCATAGGCTAGAGCTTAACCCAGGCAAAAATGCCGAGCCCTATCTGAAAAATAAGGTTGGAAATGACTGGGTATGGTTCAAGTGGTAGAGGGCCTGCCTAGCCAGTGTAAGGCTCTGAATTCAAACCCTGTATTACAAATAAAAAGTTAAGTGATGTAAAAAATCTAATGTCTTGGGGGCGGGGGACACACATCAGGCAAGGATTTCACATCTAATTTAAACACTGGCCCCAGGGAAGGCCCGGGAGCACAGTGAGCCCCTTCTGGGGATGCTTGGCTACCCAGAGATCGGGGAGCTCTCTTAGGTCCAGTTCACTGCTCAAGCTGATTCTGACCCTTCCTGAGGATTCCAGCAGCATGGGTTATAGCAACACCCAGAGTTAAGTGGGTGTCTTCCTTGGCTTCGAAGGGCTTAGGTCCGCTCTCTCCCTGAACGCCAGTCACAGATGAGCCTCCTCTGCTCTTTCCAGCACACAGATCCAGGTTGTCTCTGCCGCTCACGTGCCTCTGGCCCGCACCTCCTGTGGCACAGAGGGCTTCCGGAATGCCAAGAAGGGCACCGGCATCGCGGCGCAGACCGCGGGCATAGCCGCCGCCGCGGTAAGTGAACTGAGCATGGCTTCCAGGGCAGACCCTGGGGAACCCTCACACAGCCATTCAGAAGCCAGAGGGTCTCAGCCAGCCCTTCTGATGAGCCCGAGGCCTGTGAAGAAAGGCTCTGTTGTCTTTCTCAGCGTCGCTGCAGGTGAAATGTGGTTTGTTTCGAGTGGAACAGCCCAGATACTGAAGGCTTCACCAAAGCCCCCTGAAAGAGCAGTTGGTGGAGTGATGTGGTCTGCCGCAGCGCTGGTGGTCGGGTGAGGAGGACCCAGACCTTTGGAGTTTTACCACTTTTTTCAAGAACCAGTGGCTTGGGCCTGCTGGGTGATGAGTGATTTCTGTGCACTTCCCTGCTTCTGTAACAAGTGGCCTTCGTGATCATAGCAGATTCAACTCTCAGTGATTTCTGATGACACTTTTTAAGTAGGTTTTGGGCTCAGACTTGAAGTGCAGGCCATTCCACCAGTGCCTGAGAAAAGCTTGAGCAACACTTCAAAATCTCCACTAGGTGGCAGTGTGGCCTGGGCTAAGAGCTCAGTCACTCCCGTTCTGTCGCCAGCTGGGTCAGTGGTCCCCTCCCCAGCCACTTCTGCCCCTGCCATTCCCACCTCCCTGGTCGAGTAGCAAGAGATCAGGATGCAGTGTCTTTTCCTGGGGCATTAACCACGCTTGCTGCTTCTCTGCAGAAAGCCACGGTGAAGGGGGTGACCCATGTCCGGGTTGTGGTGAAAGGCCTGGGGCCTGGGCGCTGGGTAAGTGCTGGCTGTTCTCGGGCTGGGTTTCTGTGGCATGGTTCAAGTTCTTTCCGTTTCTGTAGCCTGCGGGGCCCTCCAAGCAAACCACGGGACCCTGTTATCATTCCCCAGACTCTCCTTGAGTCTGCTGTGTGCCAGGCCCAGGGGCTGGGGAGCTGGACCTGCACGGGCTTGAGTCCGGCAGGGATGACCTTTAATTCCTGAGGGGGCTGTGTCTCCAACGTTACAAGAATGGGGGGAGGGGGTATATGTGGTGTGTGTGTACATGTGGTATGGGTATGGTGTGTGGGAGTGAGTGTGTAAAAGACATCCCTGAGAACAGAGTAGGCCCGGGCTTGTGGGTGTCTGGCCACTGCGCCCCCTCTGCCCCCCTTCTCCTGTCTGGGGACACTGGCTCATTTCTGGGATCGGACCATTCTGTCTGCCCCCCTTCCAGTCTGCCATCAAGGGGCTGACCATGGGGGGCCTGGAAGTGATCTCCATCACTGACAACACCCCCACCCCGCACAACGGCTGCCGCCCCAGGAAGGCACGGAGGCTGTGAGGGGGGAAGCCTGCGCTGAACCGGACCCCACGTCTGCCTGCGCTGGACAGGGAGAAGCCACCCCGCTGCTGTCTCGGAAAGCATTTGGAGCCCTCAGGGCCTCCACAGGGCACTGCCCGCCTGAGAGACGTGTGCCCACACGTCAGGCTGAGCCTCAGACATGAGGGGAGTTACTGGGCTCTGCAGCCCCGTTGGCGGCGTGAGAATAAAAGACTGCACCATCTGAGTGATGTGGGCTTTTGTTCCCAGACTTCCAAACAACCCGCTTCCTGAAGAGTGCTTGGAGGTGCGGGACGGTGTGTGCCAAGTTCAGAGGAAAGGGCAGACAGATGTAGAGTCCACCTTGGGGACCCAGGAGGCTCAAGAGATGGGATGGCGAGCACGGGGCACACATGGTCAGAAAGGAACCCGTCAGATCTTAGAAGTGAACTAAAAGTCGCTGTGGATTGTCAGGCATGAGGTGTGGTCCAGGGACGTCACTGCAGGTGAGGAAGTGGGTGGGATCTGGCCGTCCCTGAGCGCACTGGGGGGGGGGGGTAGGACCTGGGTCACACTTGAGTGCTAGAGTTTGGGAGGGGGAAGGGCTCTGGCGAGCAGGTGTTCAAGCCTAGGAAGGGATGAGGCAGGTATGGAGAGCCACGCGAGGGGGGAGAGGACTGCCAGGGAAACGGTGGCAACGAGTCTCCACACCCAAGATGAATATGGGCAGGGCTGGGAAGGTGGCTCAGTGGTAGAGCGCTTGCCTTGCATGCATGAGGCCCTGGGTTCGATTCCTTAGTACCACATAAGCAGAAAAAGGTAGATGTGGTACTGTGGTTCAAGTGGTAGAGCACTAGCCTTGAGCTGAAGAGCTGAGGCCCAGAGTTCAAGCCCCATGACACTCTATATATATGGGTATGGGGATCGTGGAAGTGGCGGGGGTGAGGCAGGAAAGGGCACAGGCTGCAGCTGGGAATGGGCCCGGGAAGTATGGGAGGAGGGGCTGAAAGGGTGCAGGAACCAAGAGCCTGGCAGGGCCATGCCAGGGATAGGGCCTTTGTCTCGCAGAGAAATAGCTTGCAGTCTCCCTAACATCCAGTATCTGCTCTGCTCCTTCCCTACCTTATGAAGAAAGAAAAACAATGTCACAACCCATAAAAAGCTGCTCCATGTAACTCTTGATGGGAAGTTATCCCCTCCATCCACCCCCACCCCCTGTAGAGATGTGAATTAAAGCAGAGCAGGGTGAGAGTGCCCTGGGTAAACAACAATCCTGTGCGAGCTGAGGGGCAAATGCATTCAGCACGTGGCCAAAAGAACCTGCCACAGGCCAGGAGCCCCACAGAGGGAACCCTGAGGTGCTGCCCGCCCTCCCCACCCCCCTCCCCAGCAGCCTGAGGTTGTAACTTACCAGAAGGGGGGGGGGACAGGAAGGAGGAAAGGGAGATCTAGGCTGCCAGCAGGGCCTCAGTGGTAAGGAATGTCTGCTGTTTACACGACAGGGAACTTGGGGGGGGGGTCTCAAGCTGGAGAGGAGCCAGTCCCCACAAGGTGACAGGAGTCCAGGCCTCCAGGGGACCACAGCAAACAGCACCTACTATAAGCTGGGAGCAGCATGGAACGGGCATACCAGGATGCTCCCTGTTGGTTCCAACATTTCATACAATTGCTCTGAACCGAGTGCTGCTCTCCTTCAGCACTGGCGGGGGGGTGGGGATATTGCAGAGCCAGTCCCTTAGAGAAAAAGGCTTTCTAGGGGCAGTGTGGGCCCCACCCCGCATGAGATAGCATCCCTGGGTAGCTCTGGGATGTGGCTAGCACAGCCAGGGAAACAGGCCTGATGTTAACGAGCTCATGGAAACAGCCACACGGGGCCGGTGGCCTGCCACAGTCAATAGCCTGACTTGGCCCCGCTTTCCCTGCGTGGAAAGCCACGGGTGCCACGGGGTGAACAACTCAACCACGAAGCCCACCAGTGAGAAGCCACGGAAGCTGCGTGCGTGCGTGCGGAATGTCAGCCCTGAAACCAGCCAAGAGGTTGCTAGGTGAGAAATGAAGCGGGCAGTGGACTCGCTCGCAGAGGACAGTCACGCGTCTGCAGAAAAAGAGGCTGTGTGTGCAGACCGCTGTGCGGGCATTCGGAGCCAGTCGGCTGCTTGCTGAGAGTTAGAAGATGAAAGGTTTTTTACCTTTCTCAATTTTTTTTTCCTACTTTGTCGGTCTTGGGGCTTGAACTCTGGGCCTGGGCGCTGTCCCTCAGCTCTTCAGCTCAAGGCTAGCACTCTACCACTTGAGCCACAGCGCCACTTCCGGCTTTAATCTGCTTATGTGGTGCTGAGGAATGGAACCCAGGGCCTCATACATGCAAGGCAAGCACTCTACCACTGAGCCACCTTCCCAGCCCCCCTTTCTCACCTTTAAAAGTAGACACATATGTGTTGTTGTTTACTTTATCACCAAGCCAATTAAAATAAATGAGATGCTGATTTTTGAAAACAGACACTGCAGTCAGACCTTATAAAAGTGCCTGTGGACATGCCCGGGAATGTGTATATATATCCGTGAGTTGAGTGTGTAATTGGACACACATGCACCCTGCTCCTAGGCCCTGATCCCATGGGGGAGGAGGGGGGGGGCCCATAGTTTTCTCCAGGGATTAATCTGGTTTCTTCAAAGCACATTGTGCACTTTTGCTGTCAAATCAGCCATGCAAGTCTTGCCAGAAAAGTTGGCCTAAGCCTCAGGTGTGATACTGCCTGGCTGGAGGAGAGGAGCAGCCGGGGCCTCAGGCTTCTGTTTCCCCGCAACCCAGGGGCAGCCTAACCACCCTGGATTAGCCTAATCCCCTCGAACTGAACAGAAATGTCAACGCAGGGGCACTGGGTGTCATGGCGGGGGCGGGGGGGGGGGGAGACACCTGCTGTCTAGACTGAGCTGGAGGCTATGCTGCCCTCACATCCACACCCCAGTGTCCCCTCAGGACCAGGGAGGCGGGGAGGGGGGCACCCTGGAGGAATGCCCGCATCCCCCAGAGCCATTGGCTCCTGCTGTAGGAGAGCCCCAGGGTGCTGCAAAGGCCAGGTGGAATGTCCTGGAAATCCAGGCTTCTTCCCCGGCTGGGCGTGCGCTCCCATGGCTACCACTCCTTCCCGCGGGGGGTGGAGGGAGCTGTGTGGCGACCCCCTCTGTTAGGGTTGGGGGATTCTCCCAGCTGTCCCCGGGCGGCCCCCACTCCTGGCTCCCTGCCCAGGTGGCCCTGCGCACCTGCCCTGGAGCCTCGTGGGAAGGCAAGGCGGGTGGGGAGCCTCCGCCTGGCCCCTGGCCCCGCTGCAGCTGTGTTATTCACATTAATCTCAGGTATTTCCTGTGATTTTTAATGAGGAGGCGCTTGCCCACCTTCCTGTTTCCTTTAGTCCACTCAACTGGAGATTAAGCCAGATGGTTAAAAAAAAAAAAAATGCGGCTGAAAGTGGAACGAAATGAAAAGGCTAATGACTCGGGAGCATCTCTCCGTAGTCAGAGACCAGATGTCTACGCCCCTGCATCCATGCTGAGCCCATCAAAGGCCAGAGGAAGAGGGATTCAGACAATGTGGGTGGATGGGGCTGGGAAGGTGGCTCCATGGTAGAGTGCTCGCCTAGCATGCATGAAGCCCTGGGTTCGATTCCTCAGTACCACATACACAGAAAAAGCCAGAAGTGGTGCTGTGGCTCAAGTGGTAGAGTGCTAACTTTGAGCTGATGAAGCTCAGGGACAGTGCCCAGGCCCTGAGTTCAAGCCCCAGGACTGGCAAGAAAAGAAACTGTGGATGGTAATTTCTCTGGGGGCTTCCACAGGAGGGGCATCCGTGGAGGCCATGGTGACAGGGGGACCCTGGAATGCTTACAGGGAGGGGTCACACTGAGCTCAGGATAAGAGTCAGCATCAGAGGCAGAGGTGGGGCTGACTGCCCAGCCAGAGGGAGGCATGCAGAGGTGACGCAGAGGGGGTACCGGAAGTGTAGCGAGATGGCATGGCGGTGGGCTGCGGCCGCAGGAGAGCAGCTTGGAGGGGAAGCACAGAAGGCTGGGGGGCGGGGAGAAGGGGCCGGGCCTGATAGACCTGTGGGAGGAAAACCCACCTGGCCCTAGTGGACTGCGGGTGGGACAAGGAAGAGGGGCCGTCACCAGGGCACAGCATGGGGAGCTAGGTCCCGAGCCCCAGGCTCCCCGGCTCAGCTGGGCAGGCACAGATCCTGATCCCGGCTAGGGTGGGGGTGTGGGGGGAGCCGGTGGACCCAAAGCCTTCACAAGGACACCGTGTCCCTGCACCTGGCCTCGGGACGAGGGGGACAGGCAGACACGCGGGTCCCTGACAGCGCATCCCAGGAGCAGGCAAAAGCACATGTTTTTTATCCTGTTGGGACCGGGATAATTGGGCATTAACGGAAATGCATTTCTCACTTATTTTCTGTCTGATTGAAAAGTGCTTTGCAGTCATTTAGAGCCCTCACACCTCCTATAATCAGAGCCCATTTTGCTCAGACAGAGGCAGAAAACTGGGTCACCATGGGGCTCCAGAGCCTCCCAGGATTTGAGGAGCAAGAGATATAGCCTGGCCGTTCCCTGCCAGCCCGAGGCGCCTGCAGGACCCAGGCCGGCTCAGCAATCTGCTGCACTGGGAGGCCCCTTCCTCCCACGGTTGCCTCCAGTCCACTGTGAAGGCCACAGCCCCTCACGTCTAGGAGACGCCTTTCTTGTTACTCGTGACCATGTGTCCTATTTGGCCTGGAGATGTAGCTAAGTACCACAGCACTTGTGTAGCATGTGTAGCCCTGGGTTGGAGCCCCAGCACTGCAAAAACAAATAGTCTAGCAAATAAGATCTACACAAGGTGGGGGAGGAAAGTTGGGCTTTTCATGGCCAGAGGGAAAATGAAAAGGTGCAGCAGCAGAGCTCTCTGGACATTGATGGAAGGGAACTGTACAACTCGTGGTGGAGACGGGTGGGAGGGACTAAGGGAACAGAAGACACCGCAAGAAAGAAATGTCCTCATGACCTGACTCTTGTAATCGTAATCTCTCTGAACATCACCTCTCTAATAACAATACTGTAAATGATAAAAAGAAAAAGAAAGCCTGGTTGGGTGTGGCTCAGTGGTAAAACACTGGCTGTCTCCAGTGTGAGGCATAAACAAGTAAAGCCCTCCATGTTCATGGACTTTTAGTTACAACTCTTTTTTTTTTTCCTGGTCCTGGGACTTGAACTCTT